CCTGTATTTGCATTCAATCATAAAATATTACCTCAGTCTGCAAAGTAAGTTGTGTATCCAGTGTTTATGGGTCTGAATGTTACTGGTCAAAATATCACATGACAGAGGATGTGGTATGGCAGCAATGCCACCATGTTACTTTGTGACTAAAATGTTTATTAATAGAAAGAACATCATCTCTGCAACTGATATATCAGTTCAAATGGATACTGTTATCTTAGGACAGAACATTTTTGCAGTGCCAACCATCATGAGGTCTGCAGGACAGACAGGCCACATGTGGAAACCCATGCAAAGGTTGTTCTACCTGCACTGTCTTGCTAGACACTTAAAAACTGAATGTACCTTTAACAATTACTATGTTTGTTTACCACTTGGTCAGCAGATCTTTTCATTAGTTGTCAGACTATATGCAAGCCTTTTTTTAACCTCACATTTGGTCCTTGAGAAACAATTAAGAACAAATCATAATGTTACATCATTTTAAGCCTTCTTTGCAGATTCCATCATGTGTAAAAATCCATCTTTGAAATACATTCATCAATGCATTGTTTACAACTAAGGGCTTTCAAAGTGAAGCAAATCAGACCACTTTGAAAAGAAAGCAGGGCAACAGTAAACACACCACTCCCTAAATTATGCCGTCCCCCATACTCAATCAGTGATCAGTAATAAGCGCTGAAGTGCCTGCCTTAGGCTAAACAGTGCAATTTAAAAAATGTCACAACAGAGAAATGAGATGGATCGTTCCCTTAAGTTACATAAAAGTGTGATCAGTAGTGTTGGAGATATTATGCATGGCACAAGGCAATTAAACATTATAGTGCCCTCCTTGCACATATAAACTTTACAATATCGAAAATGGAGCTGTGACATGCAATATTACCCTAAAAAGCACTGTTTTCTTTTATAAATAGACCAGAACTCAAGGATGTTATCTGCCAACAGCCTTGGAAATTTTTTTTTATTTTTTTAAACTGAGGAAAACATGGTGCTCAAACACACGACTCTGAACTCTGTGAACTCTGCGTTTGAAAGGAGAAAACGTAGGTGCTGCTGCAGGTATTACTTGTTAAAAAAAAGAAAGGAAAAAAAAGAGGAAGAAGAAGGGGGGAAAAAAAAGCCCAACAAATAAGAAATAATGTTAATATATCATAGGGTACTTAGTTTGTTGCTCCCATAACATTAGAATGTACCATTCCAGTGAGTACAAGGGGACAATAAAATCATGGGGCGATAAATTTGCCCTAAAGCAGCATCCGTGTGCTGGTGTAAGCTAGCTGTTCTGTAACGGCCAAACATATTATTGTCTCCAATAGCCAATTTTTTGTCTTTTTAAAAAAATACATAAATAGTTTTCTCTTGCACTGCTTTGTAACAGTATGTAACTGGTTACTTATACACATAGCTAGCCAGGAACTAGTACGTTTTGAAACTTTTGAGGTTGGATTGTATTTGATTGTGGCAGTGATTTTAATTTTTTGCTGAGATACTGTGAGAATAATAATAAAAAAAAAAAGGCAAGCCCTCCCCTGAGTTTGAGCCAGAATGTGCTATTGTGAAAATGACCCCCATAAAACATAAAATGTTTCATCATTCTAATCTCTCAGTGCCCAATTGTCCCCCATGAAATCAAGGGCACTATCAATCTTTTCAATTTTTCAAACCTGTATCAATATTTGTTTTATAAGTTAGCTAAGCTACAAGATGAGACTGCATTGCAAACTGGTGTCCATACAAGCTGCAAAAGATTGTTTGTTGGAGAGAGAAACACCAGACTGCACTGTTTTATAAGTAAAAAGACAGCGAGGAGTGCCCCTTTTTGCTGTTCCAACAGAGTGAAGAGTGTCTGTGAATGAAGTCTGGTACTGACAGACAGATAACGCTAGCAGATAGTAAACAGTATTCAGAATCAGTTTCTAAATAGCATAGGGGTTGATGGTTGAACCTGCATTAATTACAAATAATTAATCCAAGAAAGCAGATTCCCAACAGAATTGATGTTCATTTTTTTTTAGGAAAGCTGTAATAGAAAGTTAAATATGTGCAATGTTGAAATTAAAATAGATTATGTTTAGCCAGAATGACAATGAACCCTTTGGTTCCTTCACGTTACTAATTTAAAACACAAAAACATGATTACCAAATAATAAACATTGTGATTTATTTAAATACTGATTGATACATGAAACTGTATCCAGTAGTTTCTTGCCACATTGTCTTGCTCCATTTAAAAATGACAGCAACAAAAAAGTTGCAGGTTGCAGGGCAAATCACGGTGTCTGCATCCCATTATGAACACCATTAGACTCATGCCATTTCCTGTAGAGGTGTGGTGGGGGTGAAGGAGGGGGCTAAAAAAGGAAACATGCCAGCACATAAAGGAAGTGAGAACACTAAATGCAAAGGTGAATGACTGATTTATACATTACCCTAAATATCAAAATGCAATATTTAGCAAATGTGAGTCAGACTACAGACAGCACACCGAGTGAGGAGACAATGATAAATAGCCCCTTTCTGTGGCAGAGGAGTTGTCCCTAGGAATAAATGGCAGCAGAGTTCCTTCAATCACATATTTTTGGCTTGTAGGGGATTAATACATGCATGAGTTGCTATTTCTGGCGGAGGCTGCACTGAATTAGGGTCGCCTGGTTGCTGCTGCCTGTTTTTTATAGTGCGCCTTTTCTGGTTGGTGGAGCAGGGGAGTTTACGTCTGTTGACGTTTTTTCCTGCCCTGCTGTGGATCTGCATTTTCATGAATGAAGCTCAAGAGGGATTGGGAGGGTTAGATGCTAGACAGACAGAGAAAAAACATTTGAGGGTAGGAGGGAAAGAGAGGCAGAATGGAGGAAAAAGCCAGACTAACACACGTTTGATGCAAAAGGGACAGCAAAATCTAGGGAGGAAAAAATAGATAAGAGAGAAGTGAGGGGTAGAAGATCGAATGGGAATATAAAAATAACAAGATAAAAAGGGGCAGAGGGAGCTAACTGAATAAAAAATCATGAAAAATTTTACTAAATGCATGTATGGAAATGTTATAATCAACACTACATTGTGGAATGCAGAAATATTCTTTCAAAGTGACCACTTTTGTATGATTCGCTATTATTTAGCAGTCCACAAAGAGTTAATGCTCTTTCAAAACCCTGACCCTCTCTAAAACCAGTGAAATTTGATTGGCTTTGCAAGCTGCAGGGTGGAGCTATTTCTCATAACATGCTGCAGTGACTACCATTAACAGCTGAGGAAGCAGTAAAAGACTGACAAACAGCGTCAGGATAAGATCAGAGCAGTTTGTATGAATGATATAAAAAAAGAAGCTTTATTTATTAAAACATCTGTGCTAGTTCAAGTCTATATTATTCAGAATGTCAGTAACTGACCACTCATTTACCACAGCTGATAATGCTGCACAACATGTATAAAGCTCTACCCATTGTGTGTATATACACTACATGCATGTATGAGTGGTAGCTCTAGACTGAAATTAAAATGGACAGGGTGGTTTTCAGGGATGCAAGTGTGAGCCAGTGAATGCATAATTGAGGAGGATGCAGAGTTATGATTTTATTAGAGAGATGAAACTGTGGCTACACAATCCCAATAATGTGAAAATAGTGATGCAAAGACAGTTATTTTAATGATACTGACTATATGGTTATTCACTATTAAGCTATTTTTAAGCGTCTAAAAGGCTTGCATGTATGTTAAAGGTTAAAATGGGATGTATGCCTGGACAATGTATCATTTCATAAAGGTGCTGCTGCAAGATAGGCTGTAACTACAATCAATTATTCTGCATTTTATTTAGATGTCACTGAAATAATTTGAACATAAATCTGTTTTTGTCAGGCACATGTAGCTATAATAATGTACATTTAGCTTGTGTACTGTGCACTATTGTTGAAGGTACATTGTAATAATTACTTTATGTATCTATAATTTTTAGTTTCAGGAAGGTTGCAGATTACTATATTATTTTGATGCCCCTGATCACAGGAATTAATACAAGTATTATTCTATTAGTTCAAAGTAAAAAGTATTAATTGTGTTTTTCAAATACTAAACCCACTCAAAGCTTTATTATAGGTGTGGCAAATACTCTATTAAACTGAATGAAGTTAGCCATTTAACTTTATTGTTAAAATAAATAAAGGGTGCAGGTGTTGACCCATCTGGAAAGATGACCGTAAGAAAAGTGAAATGAGAAAATAACAATAAATGACCAAATGGGAAAAATAATAAAAGAACTGTTTGAAATGTATAAAGAAGGGTCAGAAAAACAGGCCATGTAGGGAAAACTTTAAACACTAAAAGAAAGGAGTCCACTTATTAAAATAAGTTGTAGTGAAATTTAATAGCAGTGGTGACAAACTCCCTGGTGCTTTCATGTTTCATTTCCATTCAAGGAACTCTGGTCATCTGGCAGGAGTATTTTCTTCAAAAGTTACATTTCCCACAATATGTTTCAATGAAATGTTGACCACCTGCAGTAAATATCATTACAGCCAATTTGAACTGCAATATTTCACAAAGGTTTTTGTGTTACATTTCCCTAAAGGTTCCCTGTGTACAGTTTTCCCTCTATAAAACTGGTTTTGAGTATTCACATCATTTCATTATTCAAGTTTTGGCCAGGACAGAATGTCTGCAGCACAACTATAAATCACATTATATTACATGTCTGACTTTTATTGTGTATTTTACTACTCTGAACAAGTCGTCTCAGTTAAACTGCTAAAAACATGTTCAGCAAATAAAAAGCAACATGGCAAAGTGAAAAACAACAGAAAATGTATATGGCACAAAACACAACCCTATGATCTGCGTGTTCTGCTTCAATAAAACATAGCAGCATCTCTTAAACTGTGTATGGGCAAGTGTGATGGATTGAGTGAAAGGTGACAAGGAGAGCAAATAAGTGAATTATTGGGGGGGGAGGGGGGATTAACAGGTATGCAGGGGTTTTAGATTAATGACTACCGTATGTTAGCAAGACGGGGGAGAGAGGAAAGTAGATTTACCGTTTGGTGATGGAGCAGCATTGCACAATGATGCTCTTTTTGTGCGCCCCTCCGCACCTGAGGACAAAAAAAAATAAAAAAAAATCAGAGATTCAAGGGGAAGCAACATCAACAACACATCATCACAATTACAATAACGCAGAGAGCTTGAAAAGCTTCTGTAACCCTATTGTGGTTTTCCTTCATTAAAGTGTTTAAAAAAAATTACCACCAATTGTTTGGAAAGTGCTAGCTTACATTCTGTCCTTTTTACTTACTGAATTGGAGATTTAAAGTAAGTTAAAAGTATTTAGACTTCAATGAAACATTGCTTCATGGCATAAAATAAAAAAATGACCATGGTGAAACATTTTCCAATACTTGAAAAAAAGCTATGCCTCAAGGAGCTTTCATTGTGCAGACAGTACATTCAACCCGCTAAACAATTTGTGATTCTTTTATTAAGAAAAAGTCAGCCCATATATATATATATTGTAAAATAGAAAATGTAATCTCACTCAAAAGCCCAAGCATGATGCACAGTGCAATGCGGCAGAGACATTAAGTCAGAAGAAGTTGGAAGTGGAACGTTTCATAATGAACTGCTCAAAGACCAAGACAACCTGGAGTGATCTGAGTCTTAATACATTATCTTATAATCTTTTAAACTTTAAATTATGACCCACAGGAGCCTGACACTAATATCTGTCTTCCGGGGATGTCAAATTCTTTGTATGACCGACGATAAAAAAAAAAGGAAAAAAAAGACACAGACAAAGAAGTACTAAATGTAATACAAATTAAAAGAAGCCAGCAGTGGAACAGAGGGACAGGTGCAGAGTTTACGGTCTCACAAATGATAAGACACCATCATAGTAATTGAGTATTGTTGGCGCCAGCTTTGGTTCATGCTCCACTGTCTACCATGGCTTATATGTCATGAGGGCCTGGTGCTGCTAGGTCATGCAGAGATGACAGTTAAAAATGAACTTGTGGGTCCCACAATACACACTAGACCTGGAGTAATGCCAAATACACTTATTGAACTACCTTACAGGTAGGCATGGGAGGATTTGAAGATTTCATGTCACAATTATCTTGGCGGAAATAATTGCATTTACATGATATCATCACGATAATCATGAAAATATACTTCCTACCCAAATATACTGGAATCACTTTACCCTACATTTTGTTAAGAAACACATATTTATTGCATCACAGACTGACATTTATTTATTATTGTTGTTTTTTATTGTGACACATGATAATCCCGCACATCTTCCCATGCATACAGGACACCTGACTTATATATTTAACACTATTGTACATCCAGGTGTCACATGTAGAGGCTTGTCTCTAATATTACATTTTAGGCTTTCCATGTTAAAAGAACCATCTAATGAAAAAAGGATGAAAAAACGAATCTAAGTCATAGTAAAATTACACACTCACACACCTTTAGATTTGTGTTCAAGACACTAGGGCTATATAATTACCATCTTTAACAAAAGCAGCATGTGCTTAATGGCATATTAGTCATATGTATAACACACTCCATGTAGCTACTAAGTAGCTATGTAACCTCTGGGCAGTTAACATAATATCCTGACTAAAACAGTGTATTATGAAAGGGGCATGTTAGCTGTAATTATGATCTAAACAGTACAGGTAGTCATTTGTAAAAAGAAAAACTACTATGAACATGAGTGCACCTATTTTATAATACAACCCACAAATTTTTTTTATGTTGAAATAACAAAATAACTGTCTCAGGTAAGAGAAAATAATCACATTAATATGTGTAACAGAGTCATTGAAGAGAGAGTTAAACATCAGTTGTGTGATGTAACAAGATATATCTTTGGTTCACATGTCCTGCCTTATACACACTGTGTACACGTGGCTGCATTTAACTTAAGAGGGTTGCCCAGTAAAGTCAAAACACTGTACAGTTTACTGTTTGACTGCCACATTAGTGTTAGGTAATCTTTGCCAAGTTGCAGTGCATCATGCCTGAATTCAACTTCTAGTAAACATATTCATAAATCTTATTAGGCTAGTTTTAAAAATCATTAGCTTACTATCACCTAAATGTCTGCATGGTAAGGGGATGAATGGTTGACCAAGTCCCTTACCGGTTTGACATAGATTCATTCACTGCGAAGCCTCTCTTTCTTTCATACCATCTGGGAGGGGGAGGGGTGAGACTGTCGCATGTACTTGATAGTTAATTGATGGGGACAAATCACTTATATGTAATTACTGGGATGACCTGCCTCCCCATAAAGTGACGGTGTCTCTGTATTTCTTCCAACCAACAGAAAATGACGAATGCATGTGTGACTTATTGCCTTTTTTTGGGTCTAATTTTTCTCAATTAATTTATTTAGGAACTGTGGTGTGTCATCTCAGTTGCTCTCTGACATTTAACAGAATTTCTTGAAGGAGATGTCTTCATTATAAGCAGCCATTAGTGAACCATCTGATGTTTTCGTTGGTCAAGCATTTTGTGGCCATGTGGTCAGGTTTTCATGTATTTATAAAGCATACTGACATCTTTCCTGGCAGTTTACGTGGCATTACATTCTAAAGCTGAAAAAATGAGCCAACTAATCGATTGAGTGTTCGATGGTTAGCCAGACAAAACAGGGAATTTTTTAGATGTATTTATTGATAACTCATTATTTGCTCAACCACATTTTCAGAGTATTCACCAGTTGTGACAAACTATCTCAATGAATGATAAATAAACAACTACAGAAGAATAAATAGAATGATAATATGACTTACTGCAGGGGCTACTCTGGTGGTATAGCAGATGTGAGAATGACAAGACAGGCGCCAACTCGCTGCGGAGCCCAGCGCTTCCTGCCTCATTTGTCTCCCGTGATTCCTCTTCAATCCCTTCACCTTTCAGCTGCTGCCCTACCCCTTCCTGGTCTGCCCAGACCACGCCTCTCTCCCTCAACACAAGGTGCTCTAGTTCATGGTTCTCCATCTCATCCGCCGCTGTGACCAGCCCAGCACCACGCAATGCAGAGTACTTCCGACTATACGCTGGCAACAAGATGTTCACCATTCTGAAATGAAATGGAAAAATAATATTGAGATATCTCTTCCAGAAAAGAAATTGCGGGTTACAGTGAAAGTGAAGTGCAGTTTTTTCAACTGCACCAAGTAACAGTTAATTCAATAAGAACCGATTCTAGGTATTGTTAACCTACTTCTGCATGCGCTTGTTCTCCTGATCCTGCAGTGCTATGAGCTTGACCATCTGCTTGATGTGTTGTTCGAGATCATTCACCTGCAGCCCCAGTCTGTGGCAACGCAGGTCCTTTTCTAACACCTGAACGGGGGGGGGGAGAATTCGGTCAGTGATGAGGCAATAGCAATAACAGCATACTCAATTAGCTCTCTGGTGGGCAGAATAAGAAGAAACAAAAGGTGGCTGGGGTCAGGATACTAGAGAGAAGATGCAAAGTTCTGTTTTCATCCATGTTTCATCAGATAAGCTGTCTGCCCAGGGAAAGGGAGGGGAGAAAAAAAAAAAAAGAACTCTGACGTAAAGAAACTACGAAACAACAGCAGAGAGAACATTTGACCGGTGGGTGCGTCATAGCTCTGGGTCAGTTCCTGGAAGAAAGGATAAAGAAGAAAAAAATAACATGGGCATGGTTTTAGGTAACTGGCTGCTGTGTGAAGGATGAGTAAAGGGTATTGATTTATTCTCTTCAGTGATCCACGAGTGAGCTAGAGAAATAAAATGAGCACGGTTCTAATTACTGGGAGAACAGATGGGAAGAAAACAAAGACAGTCACGACACCAGTAGAGACACAGCCTACCTTCCAAAATAAACAAACAAAAAACACCAAGCAATGAGTTTTGAAGGATGTAACCCACATTGTAAAGTTTCCTCTATATCTTATTATGCTCATTTGTCTTCTTACATTAACACTTACTTTTACTCACTGGTCGCCTCGGCTGATATGTTGTCTAAAGAATTGATGTACTCGTCACCAATGTTAGTGAAAAGTGTCAGCGATTACAATAGAATTTAACGATTAAACTTCTACAGCCAGTTGTTATAATTTAAAAAAAGATAGAGGTCATACTTAACCAATTCTACAGTTTTCTTTTTTAAATCAAGGAAATACAATTTACAAACTCTGTCACATCAAAAATATAAATTTTCCATTCAATCAGTCATGTGTTTTTCTGCTCCCGTAAATGTGTAAGGGTCAATAAGTTCAACTTACCTCTGAAGTCTGATCATTTGACTTCAGCAGCTTAATCTCATTTTCAACCCGATGAAGCCAGCCATCATTGTCCAGGAATTGTGTTTCTGCCTCCTTCAAACGTTTGCAAATGTGCTGCTGCTGAGCGCGTAAGCTGGCAATCTTCCGCTCGTGCTTACAAGTGGCCTATTGAGAGCATCGACAAAAAACAAAAGTTATTTAAGTGATATTATAATTTTTTTGTGCTCGTATTAGCATTACACACTAATAACTGTGTGTGGTCTAAATAACAATTATAGCTGGAGATGTAAATCTGAAACAATTCATCTTGAAATTGAGGATTTTTTTTTTTTAAATGCAGACAGATAATTTACCACCAAAGTTTAGTTTGCTTTAGATGACAGTGGTTTAATTCTTGAGAATTTTACACTTTAAATGGCATTTACATCTGGGCCTAACACAGGGACTCAAATGGCAGAGAATAGCCAGGAACTGGGGAGCGGTGACCCTGTCCTGTAGTGGCGTAAATGAGAGGCTAAGACAACTATAGAGAACAGAGAAGTAAAATGATGACTAAGCAGGTGTTTTTCTGCAGGGATGATGGCATCTGTGGATAGCAGCGTAAGCATCAGCTACCTTCTCAGTCTTTTCTTTGGCACAGAAGTATTGGACCTGCAGGTTGTCCTCCTCGCTGTAGCGCTGGCGCAGCTCATTCTCCTTCAGTTGTCTCTCCAGATCCAGCTGTTCTCTCCTGATTTGGGCCCGGCTCGAGAAGATTCGCTGCAGAGCTTCTGACACCCTAGAGGGAGAGAAAAAGAGTGATGTTACAAACTTTGCCTTGAAAATGGCTGCATAAGGAAGTTTGAACTTAAAAACATGAAAAAAAAAAATCTTTGAAAAAACCCCAAAATATTTTAATTGATGAATTTCCCTGCAATTAATTCTGTATGTAAAGCTCTAATACTCAGTTTTTGCTGGTATAGAGAAGCCTTCATTCTACTCTGGTCATTTTTGAGACTGTAGTGGTGTGGATTTAGACTTTATTATAGTGAAAGATCTTTTTAGTTTTGTCCTTTCTGATTCACAGACACGAGCGAGGCAGAATTTAAAAACACCTCTTAGTATAATGCAATTCAATAAAACATCCTCATCACAGAGATTCAAGCTGCTGTGCCACATGTACGGAGCAAATTTATATTAATTGTTGTGCCGAGAGCTTTTACAAGCCTTTTGTCCATGCATTCAACACACACCTAAACATTTAAACCAGCATTTACCGTTTATAGTAATACAACAAATAATTATACTGTAAAAGTATCAAATATATGAATTAGATGTGAATGAGTAATCGTTAGGTACCCCAATTAATTGATTAATGAAGCCTTTAGGCTCGAGCCAACTATTAAATCATGTTGTTAACCTTTTACAATGATCTAAAGCTTCCACAAGATGCCAATTCTGTTTGGAACGAGCCAGAAAGATATTCTTATCTATATGATGTATATATGCATTGCTGGGATAGTGTGAGGCGATATCCAGATTGGATGCAAGTGGCTGTCTGGCTGAGTTAAAGCAGGAGGAGAGACAGGAGAGGCATGCAGGTAAATAAGACTGGAGAGCTGTCGCTGAAATGTGACTGCACTCTTCAATGTAACTCCTGTGACGTAGGAGACGTCGTGGCCTTGCTAGACTGCTGAATTTTTAATAGTGTGAGAAGCGTGCAGCCTCTATTCAGAGCCTCTCACTGTGCGAGTTGTGAATTCTGATGCCAGTGAATGAAATGTGTGGGAGTGAGACTCATTCAGCTTTTCTGTGTCCCCCGCCCCCAACCCAAATACCCCGACAGATGCCACTGTATGCCTTAAAGACGACTAGATGGGATGTGATTTATGTAAAAAAAAAAAATGTGTATATATAATTTGAATTAAAATAAAGGCACCACACAGACGGCCCTATCAAAAGTAAAACTCAATGTGATGCATAAAACAAGATAAGATGGTTGATACTTACTCTGTATTTGTGGCAGATAGAAAATTAAGATCAAGATGCATTTTCTTCTTAACAAACACAAAACTGTCAACACCGGCCGTTTCCAATCTTAATCCTTTGGGCTCAAAGCTCGTCTGGTTTATAATACAAGAAGTAAAATTCAAAACCGTCAGTGTTCAGGCCTATATAATGTTTTGGAATGTATCATCCTGTTTCAGGCATAGACGTACCAGTAATTAACATAATAACAAAAACAAAAAATTCGAACTTCAATCAATCACCAACACACACTTTATTCATATTTTAGTATCTAGCAAATCTATGCAGGTACACTGACTATAGAACAGGTCAGGAGAGAATGTGGGGGGAAAAAGTCTTAAAGTGCAAAAATATTGTGTGCTGCTCAAAATCTTACGTAGGTACTGGTACAATATTGCAGTATTTGATCATCATGAGTGCAAATAAATGGGCTATATCAGTTATGAAAAGGGAAAAAAGAAGTTTAACTTCGCAGAAAAGCAGGGATGCAGAAAAATCTGTGACAAGTTTTTTGATAGGACTTTTTTCGTCATCCCCACTAGTGCAGCATGAGGTCACCATGTGCTGTTTTCCAGGAAGTAACCGTTTTCCAGGAGGTGCAAGTGCCCATTTCATGGGAGTGACACAAACAAATTGTTTAAAAACACTAGGTAAACTAGATGTGCTGTAAGCTGATGTACACAAATTATGAGAAGTAATCAAGGCTTTTATCAGCAATTTAGCAGAACTGGATCATCAATTCTGACGCTTTGTTTCAAGTCCGCTCTGGGTAGGTCAGCTGTATAAAAACAACACTAATGTATTGAGTTGTGAGTGTGTGTGCATGAAATAAATAAACAGCACCTGGCATTTTCAACTAATGATATTCACTCTTATACTGTGTGTTGCCAATCAAAGCAGGTAGAACCGCTTTGGGTAAAAAAAAGTCACTTTTCTTCTATTTTAGGAACATTTTGCTGGTGCACCACACCTCCAAAGTGCTGCTCCTGGTTGAGAACTACATTTGAACTTCGGGATTTTGTTTATGTAAAGGGTGAAGACAGGCTATCAAAACATTTCCAGCAGTTTCAACAGTTTTTCACTATCACTGATCTCACAGTTATTAAGTTATTTTATATATATATATATATATATAACACATTATAGGTCACCATTAAATGATTACAGACAGACATAATTTTTAGGAGTTTAGGAGTAAAGACTATCTAATCGAAGTAGGACCTTGTTATATGACGATAAAAAAGTATGAAAAAAGGGGGTTGATGAGGCAGGGATGCAATGCAAATATTTCACTACCATTTAATGTAAAACTACTTTTATCTGCTCACCTTGCTTTCTCTTAAATTTTTTCTACTATACCTGGGCAACCCACCCAAGTAAAGTCTTATGTGCGAGACACTGGCGACCTGTCTAAAGAATACGAAGCATTCAAACACTGATTTGGAAGTTGATTACCATGGCAACGGTCAAAGCTTTGAAACATTTGGGTCAGCCCTATTCTCAGGACTACATCACTGCTTTTTGCCAATGATGTAGTTCTCCTGGCTTCATCGAACTGTGACCTTAACCAGCACTGGGTGGTCTGTAGCAAAGTATTAATGACCTCAAAGTCCGCATCCACAACAGTCTGGTAGAAAACAACAGATTTGTTCCTTTGGGTTGGGAACGAGTTGTTGATGCAAGTGAAGGAAGTCAAATATCTTTGGTTCTTGTTAATAAGTGTAGTGAAAACTGAGACGGATGGATTGATATGTTATACAGGTGTTGCACCAGAATGTCGTGAGCTCTGAGTACTGTCAGAAAGAATGAGATCACAGATACAAATGCACCACAATGAGATTTCTTCACAGGGTACTTCGGCCCCGCAGGGCCAGGGTGAGGGGTTCAGACATCTACAAGGAGATTAGAGAAGAACCGCTGCTCCTTTACATTGAAAGGAGCCAAATGAGGTGGTTGGGATGTCTGATTAGGATTCGACATGGACACTTCCTCTGTGGGGGTACTTCAGGAACACCAGCTAAGAGGAGACCCTGAGGGAGACCTGAAGCACGCTGAAGGGATTATATTCCCACTTGGGCTCGGAGTGCCTTGGGTACCTGTAGCAAAATCTGGGGAAAGTGGGCAGGGAAGGGAGCTTCCATTTCTCTTAACTAAAGGCTACTTTTCATTCACCGTGTAGCAAGTGTCATGAAATAGGTCCAATCGGTCACAATACTACAATTACATAAAACTATATAACTGTTATAATCATAAAGTGATGCTAGTTCGGCTGATCCCAATGAGAATCATTTATAAATCATAAATGTACAGTATAGGCTACAGTGTGTCAGTTAATAACGCTGCACCTTCTGAACACCAAGGAAGATCTTGTCTGTTGTTAGCACCACCAAACACCTACCCCGTGAGTTTCCTCCAAAAGCTGTTTGTTTATTATGTCAATTATAATTTACCAATGATTATTCTCGTTACTCCTTGACTAGCTTCCAAACTGGTCTTTCTCACATCCTGACAGTTGGAAAGAAACACTACTGCAGCTACAGTTGAGCATCAAATTGCCCCCAATCATCAAATCTCCCTACAGAAGAGCCCTGGAGCTCTTCTACTTAAGGCTCAGAAAAAATAAAATGCTCACAGGGTCACTGAGTTTGAGTTTTTGACTCTTTTTTTTTTCAATTATAAAAACATTAACAGTTTTCTTCTTTTCAATAAATGGTTTATTTCTTCTGTGTTGTGGCTTTTCATCTTTTGATATATTGTCTACAGATAAATGTCAAAAGCTGAAAATTAAGTCACTTAAGACATAAAAGGCAAACATAATAATCCCAACTATAATGATTCTGAAGTCATTTTAACAGGGTTTTCCTTATAAGGCTTTGGCACAGCACCCAAGCCATTTTGGGCTGCACCACCTAAGCCAAATGAATGTAAAGCCAATGTGGAGAACATCAAAACTAATTAAATGGCTTTTCCCAGATCTAATAGTTGCAGTTGGTTCCCAGTGGACTACTTTAGCAAGTTTTGTCTTTAAGCTTTGTGGGTGTTGTTTATTTATTAGCTTCTCTTGCTTTTACAACCTTTGTACACAGATACTGTAATAATAATATAAAAATAATAATAATAATGGGGGACAGCCCCTAAAACCAACCTTGTTTCTGTAACCTGGACCACCACACCTAGTTACACCTCACATTGCCTGATCCACTTCATTATAAATGATTATAGATTGAAGCACTTAAAACCAAAGGTCCCATGAATGTGTCACAGATTTACGATACATCGCCAAATGCAGGCTATGTGCTCTTTCTGCCTGCAATCAGTGTCTGTATTCATGTTATAATGTTTACAATAAAATGATTTATAACACACAAAGACAACAACTACTGATATGTCTCATGTTACACTCTGAATCACATACTCATGTACATGCTTACCTTTTGAACTCTGCTTGTTTCTGGGAAGAGATCACGTCAAAAGCCCCAGGCACCATGTTCTTCTCCTCGCATGCTTTTAGTTTCTCCTTCAGCTGTAGAATCTTTAAAAATGCAACAGAACATTGAAATAGCAGTCAGAAATGATCACGGTGATTGTTTAATTGAGACATTTTAAGTGAAGAGAAAAAAGAATGTAGATGTTTTTTTTTTTTTTTAAATAAGCATGGTAGTGTTGGTTGTTTCATATTACCTCTAGCCGTTGTTTCTCACATATCACTGCATACTGCCCAATGTGACTGTCCAGGCTTACAACATTACTCTTAAGCTGTTAGGAAAGGGAAGAGGGAGGAATTTAATGAAATCCTATATGTATAGTCCAAGAATCACAGCAGGTATAATTATATATATTACATATAATATTGTAATTAAAACAATATGATTTAATACTAACCGAGGACTTGATCTCCTTGGCCCTGTTGGCATATTTAAGAGTGTTGTGGGTGTCATCATATGTACTGGATGAGGGGCCAACATTGGCAATCATAACCGTCCTGCAGTTGCCCCCCAATGAGTCTTTAAGTAGTCGTGTCAGCTTGCTGTCCCTGTAGGGTATATGGGTTTTCTTACTCTGAAACAAACAAGAAATGAGAAAGTTTGAAATGAACCAATACAAAATCTGAGAATCCACTACTTCTGTCAAACATGACACAAATCAAAATGATAGAAAGAAAAAGTGCGTTATTGCTGTGGTATGCAGACAAGCAGAATGTGAGGTGAGTCTTAATATGCATTCACCATCTGGACAAACTCCACAAGACAAGCTTAGTCAGATTACACTATTTGGTAGGGACCAATAAACCTAACGGGGAACAAAATTCAGTATAGTGTTCATTTTGAGGTAAAGCGGGGAGCAGCCATCCACAGCAATGGTCTGGAGTCTTTCCGCAGCTGGTCTGTGAACACAGTTCAGTCTGTAATAATGGTATTAGATAAACTACAGCTGCTTAGGTGAGTCACAATCTCGTGGGCATTTGGATTGCAGAAAGTCACATTAAAGTTAAGTAACAAAGGAGTGTAAAATGATCTCTTTTGGGGTTCACAGCTGTGCCTGCACTTCTCCCTGGAAAAACCCTAAGCCTACATCTGGATTCAAAGACCTTAGCTAGAGTTCATGTCAGGTCCAGGGAGTGTCAGGATAGCCATGCCAATTTGGAATAAGAATTTTTAATAAGAGCAGGCATTCAAACTGACTTTTGTCCTTAAAGTCATTGTCTAAAAATAAATAAACATATTTCATAAAATTGACTAATAATTTGGTCAATCATGTGGAATCTGTCACACGTTCAGTGTAAAACGATCCCCTGCAACTTACAGGCAAAGGGTGGGAACAGGAAGTGCGAAGGAGCCACGAAAAACGTTAACGCTATATAACAAAATTGCAGATCTTTTATCGTCCACTGGTTGAACATGGTTATTAAACATAATTTAGTTGGCAAACATGATCTGGTAAGTAGGGTTGGGATGCATTATTATTCCACCCTTTTTCCACCAATTAAACCACGATGTAGGGTTACAGCTATTGGTTAAATAAGTATTCAAGCATATTACCCATTATTCCATCAATTAATCAGATAAGCAATACTTTTGCTTTATTATAGCAATAGTAGCAATATAGTAATAGTAAATTTACAATTCAGAAAATAAGACATGTCTTTTAAATTGTTTCAGGGTTTCCTCTAGGATTTTCTTCAGCAGCAGAGGTAAAAGCTGTTGTGTATCCTCACTGTACTTGCAGTGGAGTATTTTCAAAGTGGGGCATTAGTAATTTTATTTAAGTTAATTATCTCATTCATCCTAAAATTTGGTTAGCACACCCACAGTGTTCCCTGCCGAGGCTTACATTTTAAGAAAGGTGGAGAGAAAGGTACATAAACTAGGTATTAAACAGGCCCCAGAGCTTAAGACCGTTGTGTTTATTATGTTGCTGCAGTCTCTCCGTCTACTTTAACAAAAGCTGTCTTTAGTTTAGTTTGCCACATATCTTAAAATCTGGCAAATTCCTGTTATAAACTAAGCGGCTGCCTGAGACAAATCAGCCCCTCCTTTCTCTACCAGCTGTACCTACAGGCTGAGAGTCATCAGAGGACAGAGGACAGGATGAATGACTGATACTGACTGATGTCTGTGTTCTCCAATCTTCATAAACTTCACTCATTATTGTGATGTCAGGAATATGATTTGTTTTCTTGACATTTTAGATGTTTCCAGTGAGATATTATTGAGTTTATAAAGTGGCTTTGCTGTTGCTGCTCTAGAAACAACATTTAATTGTATTTATTCAGTTCTCAATTTAAAGACAACCAGACTAATATAGAAACTGTATAGCCAATATACACGCTTCAATATTTGTCATAATACAAGTCATATTCTCATTGCAATATTGAACAGGGTTATCACACATTCTCCTGATATCGTGCAGGCCTAGTTAACAGTAATTCCAGGGCTGGAGGGTGGAGAACCTATATGTCTTATGATTTAAATACAAACTGAGCAATCAGAGAGATTGGAGGGAGTGACAGAAAGTTTAGTTTTTAACATTGCGGCACAGAAGCTGACGATGTCTGAAAATGTTTACGTGCACACATGAGCATTTCCGAAAAGCTCAGCTTCCTCTGTCCACACCGCACATTAATAAAGACTGGAGCTATCAAATGTTTCCACTTTGGGCAACATTTTCAGAAAGCCCCTTTTTTGTGGGCGGGAAACACTGGCCTTGTGTGGACGGAAGGCCAAACCGGAGATAAAGGATGCGTCGTAAAATGTATCTACATTGCCTAAGGCAAACAACTTACAAAAAAAACCTCTGTGCAGCATAGCATGAAGATGACATACTGAACAGCCCAAACAGAAGTAACAGACATTCTTCTCACTCAAACGAATGGCATGTCAGCCCAGACACAAGTGGGGACATTCTGTCCTGTAAACAATGGCCACAACATGAATTCCTTGTCCGCCAACAGTAAACACTGGAGCACCAATAACCATGGGGACAGGGTAGAGAAGGAGTTGGGATTAGAAGTGGGCATTGTAGGTTGAGTACATCAAACTGTGAGTTCACAACCACAACTCTCAAGAATGGTGAGCAGGGTATAATACTAACTGGATAATATACATTAACCCCACCCCACACACACACACAGTTTTAACCCAAGAATGAAGTAACCTGTTGAAGATGGATCACATTTCAACATGGCTGCGGTACATTTGCACAGCACTTCCTAAATGCATGTGGGCTGCTTGCGCCTCGTCCCTTGAGACTGGTGTGTAAAATGAGAAGACTGCTTGACAGGTTAATGTATGCAACTGGAATGAAATAATACCCAAATACTCAGTTGACTCTCCACTTCCCAGGCTCTCTGTTTCATATGGAGGCTAGTGGTTAACTTCACAGACCGATAACCATAACAACAGAACATGATGAAAAATTTCCACATGCACTGATGATCTGCTGACCAAATACAGACATAAAACACAAATACAAAACATTTCATTTGTGGGCAGTGTATGATGTGTGTAAAACTGCCTGCACATTCCCTGCATTTGTTTACTGTGTCTAAAATGACACACTCACTGATACAGTGCATACCTCTGGACACATCTACGTGAAATACTGTTTTGTGACTGTGATAATGAAAATGACAGCATACTATTATAAACATTCTCTGTAAACATGGTATCAACATTTGCAGCTGTTCATAGAGTAAAGAGCTATGTATCAATGTATTAATACAAACTGCTCAGAATCGAAAATTCCACCATATCATATACCAACTAAGATTGGATGGTTGGATGAATAGATCAGTTCATCTAATATTACTAGGCAGCTGGACTCCTGAGATCAAGAAATCACCAATCGTGCGAGAATTGATTTTGTCAGGTTGTGGCTTATTGTTTGTTATTAGCATGGGTAACACTAACTAAACACTACATAAGGGCATTTTGCACAAGGCCCAATGTGTGTGAGAAGTACTGTTTGCTCAAAAAAAACAACGCTGCTGAAGAGGTTGGTACAGATGCTGCCGAGATGAGTTATATCAAAACTGGAGAGTTTTTCGTCATTAAAAGACGAGCAAAGAAGGGTACTGAAACTTTTCTCGGTGGAAAAAATGTTTTCGCTCCTCCCCTGACTTCGGTAAAGGGTTTGACAAGGTTATATGGTTTGTTGATCTGATTGGTTGGAGTTAACCCATGATAGACAGTGCCTGCCCTTTTCTAAACTAACGCTGAATTCCCAAATGGTTCTGTGTAACAAGCCGTCTGACACAGTTAGAGTCCATCACCAGTCATTTTATTTTACTAACGAGTGAAAGGGCTCAGTGACAGACTCTTGTTTAGCGAGCGTGAATTCAGAAGGTAAATGGTTGTATTTTTCTTCTTAACAAGGAAAATAGGTATAATAATATTTCCTTTGTTGACATGTTGTGAGTATATTTATACCTAAGAGAGCTTGTGGAATTCTCCCAGCTGAAATTAGGTGGTGGTGGTATATTCAAAAAATACAGAACCAAAACAGTTGTTCATGAATCGGTTTGTTAGTGGCTGGCGAACAAAACCAACCTGGGAGGAGTGGGGACTCCCCAGCAGCCCCCTGCATGCACAAATATATTACCAACTGTTGGGCTGACCCTGTGGTGAGGGGTGATGGTGTACTAAAACATACACTGTACGTTACAGTACATTTAGGGTAACATAAACTCACCTTTGGGTCAGCAAGAGCATTGATAACATTTCCTAGGGCAAGGAGTGAGCGGTTGATGTTAGCACCTTCCCGTAAACGAGCCCCTTTGGCGTTGGTGGCGCTTGCTCTCTCTGAGCCTGCCAGATCAATCAGGCTCATTTTGGCAACGCAGACATTAGGATTGAGGCTGGCGGTTTTGTCCTTCTGTCTCAAATATATCTGGAGAAAGGGATACAACATTGTCAATTTAAGACAAACTGTGATGCATTTTGAGATGTTTGTAGTGAAACCAGATACTTCAGAAGTGAAGATATTAGTAATTACCCACTTGAAATTGGGGAGTGGGAACAGTTTGCAGCTAAGCTTTCATATTCATGGCTCTTCTTTTGTAAATGATGGACTTTTACATTGTTTTATAAGACTGGATGAAATACCTGAAATACAGCATGGGACCGGGAAGAGGTAGCATTCATGTCAGTGGGGTGCTGGGTCCGGTTGCGGTTGCCAGAATCCAAAGCCTCAAGAATGTGCTCTGCAGATTTAGGCTGTATAGGGGAAAAAGAAAACATGATGTGTGACCCAGTAAAAGGCCTGATTAGGAACCACCACAGTGCACTTGCTCATCACAGCAACATAACAATATATCTGGATATGTTATCCAAATAATAAAAGATCTGATTATGTCTTTGCATCTACCCCAGGCGTTGTTAATACTTTCTTGTTATTGTCAGTGCGGTCGGATTTCTGTTCTTAATTATTTGTCCCCTCTTGTAAATATGGTAATTATAATACATTAGGTTATTCCTTTCCTTATTTAAAAAAAATATATATTTGTCAATTTGTTTGTATTCCAGTGCCAGCATTAGATAAATGATATGCCTTGTCGAAAGAAGATCAGATAGACAGATGATTGCAATGCACATATCATGTAATACATTTCAAACTTTAAAGCATTTTCATGGCACAGAATAAACATATAAATCAGTAATTAGAGGCATGTCTCATTCAACCTTCCCGCATGCTTGCTCTCTAAATTTGAACAACAACAACCCATATTTTATGTTCACTAATGACAAATATCTGTATCAATGTTATATTGTTTAGCCTAGCACAGCATGTGGCCAGGCAGATCCGATCACGCATTTACATCTTTCATTAACATGCATTTTTATATGTCTGGATAAACTGTCTAGATACAGATCACATTTTAATATCAGATATAAACTGGGTCGTAGTTACAGTTGACTGTTTTTATTTTAACAACGAAGGCTATCCCTCTCCTTCACACTATTTTTTGATAGTGTATTAAGACAGGCAGTGAATTTCTAAATATCAGTGCTCGGAGGGTAATTTATTCTTCCTTCCTCAATGGACTTGGAAATTATGTTATTATAATTAAAAACACTATGTTATGTTTTGCAAATCAACAGAAATATATATATAAACTAATAAACTGACTTTGCAATGACATCAGTATCTACTTTTAAGACGCTTGATGATGCTATGAGGGGGGGGCATTTGATACATGCTGCTACTAACCTGATGCAGTGTGAGGCCCTGAACAACCACTCCTTTAGAACTGTCCTCTCTAACTGCAAGAGGACCCACATTAGCCAACAAGTCTCGGATCTGTTCATTGTACACCTGTAAACAAACAAAGAATATAACTGCAAACCGCAGCAAATCCATCACAACCATCCCAAAAGATCAACTGATACAAAAAGGTATTATTGTGTTCAGGCCCTGTAAGGGGTAAGAGTTAATAAAGAAATGTTTAAAAGTGTTAATAGAAAATATATATATATATATATATATATATATATATATATATATATATATATATATATATATTATATATATATATATATTCTGCACTAATATAAAGAACAGAAAACAAATAAATATAAAAATGTTTACCTCAAGATATGAGAATGCAACAGCAAACTCTTTCTCCTCCTTGGCATCATCCATGCGTTGAAACAGGTCTTTCATGGTGCGGTACATGACCCCAGGGTCATTTTGTGAGCCTAACATAGTATGTGTCTTGCCTGCTCCAGTAGCACCGTATGCAAACACTGCAATTGAATGGCAATTAAAGAAAAAAATAATATAAAGACATGTATATTTACAATAAGAAGGATTAAAGCAACAACTACAATATCAAATTTACTATGGATCGAGATAAACCACAAACTGTAATGTGAAAAGCCTAAATTACAAGCTTTAAACTCACACCTTTGAACTAAATGCAATTCTTACGTTTTTGGTTCTTTATGAAGAGTATAATGTCCAGTTTTTACTGAAACTGTTTTAGAGAAGCATTGATTCAATTGTATGACCATTTTGGATGCTGCAGTTTGTGGTGTTATTGAATTGTATTGCGGTATACTGACAGGTGTTTTCTATTATTTTATCCAATCCATTTATATCAGGGTAGGCTAAAGAACAGAAATGCCACTGTGTGTAATGTAATACAGTTATACAGCACCACAGACTACATCCTCCAAATTGACCGTGCAGTTGAATGTTTCAGTGGGATCAAGATTTCCAGGTGATTCAAGCATCTTTCAATGGATCAATGATGACCCTCTAAAGCTAAATCTGTTTCTGGCCCTGCTTGAAGTGAGTACACTAGGTGTCAACATTTTAAAACACTGGAACTGCACAGTGTTACAAGCTGGTGACCAGCAAGTGAACCCTGGAGCAGACAAAGTAAATTAACAGCAGCCAGCAGTTTCAATTAATGATATGGCAGCATGAGTCAGCGAGCCATGTTGAGGAAAAAACATTTCAAAACACAGCTCTAAAGGGCTGCTGGTGTGGTTCATAACTGCAATTGAACAAAACTAGTATTTAGTCATGCTGCGGTTGAAGAGAGGCGGTCAAAAGTCCAAACATTTACTGCCACAACAGATGAGATCACTTTATTATGGATCCCCCTAAGGTTGTCAGACTGTAGCTGTGATTATGACTATAGCCATGGGATGATTATGGCTGTGACACATTCATTTTTAAGGGCTATAACACTGACTAGGGTTGTTTGTGTCCAATGACATGGTTGTGCCCCTGTGGTGAACTGGTAACCAAATCAGATAGAAACACTGTGGGTTCAAATCCTGTGTGGCTTAATGCCGTAGCGCCATCACCCAAATGTATTTGCTGCAAAGTTAGGCTATCAACACACACACACAAAGAAGTCCGTAGCCTAAATTCCTGATTACAGAAATCAGACACATTAAATATAAAAATCAAATTCTGTCTGTGGCCCATTTTTTTGTTTCCTTTTTTCAGCTTGAGTATAAAATATAAAGGAAAAAAAAATGCTGTTATTTGTGTTGGATTCAAAATGAATAATGAAATAACAAATTGTTTTTTGATTCTATACTGAATTAAGATTAGTGGGATTATTGCTATATCATCTTAATGCAGAGTCACTCAGCTGTTACTTTACATTAAGTATAAGTATACAATACAAATATTAGTATGCACTAATACACTGCAGCTGTATTATTAAAGCAAAAATAAATCTAATTTAGATATCGACTACTGAATGACTCCGATATTCAGTACAAAAAATAGGGGATAGGGATTGTTCAGTTATCATGTTATGTGATTTTTTTGGGTATGTCCACATGTTGGGCGGCCTCATACAACTTCTGTTATTACCTGTGCTGTTGAATCCATTCATCACACCGTCCAACACTACTTTAGTGGTATTCTCAAAGATATCAACTTGAGTAGAGTCCTCGCCGAAGACATGGTCAAAAACAAACTTGAGGTCTTTGTTAGCCCTCTTGTTGATGTTTCGGTTTCGTACTCTTTGTGACCCAAAACATGATGTGCTCTCTTCCTTGGGGTCAAATATGAGCATGTGGTGATCAACAACCTGGACCACATTTCGACAGTTTTCACGCTTCTCACGGTCACTGGTTGGTCTCACTCGAACAACCACCTTTACATGGCTGCAAACATCACTTGCCATTATGGTCCCTTTGCAGTAACTGATGTGTTTCTGCAAAAAACAAAAACAAAGGGTTAATTCAATTTACTACATTGCAAATTGTAAAAACCAGTGTAATTTTTAATAATACACTCAAATTGGGAAACAAAAGGGAAAATAGTCAAAACAAGGACCTACATAGTTGCCTGGTACAGATTATGTAAAGCTGCTTGGGGTACAAATAAAATAGGCTTGACTGGCTTAAGTTATCAACAAGTCACTAATTGACGTAAATAGAGTTGGCATATGTAATAAAATATCTGGGGGAAAACAAACTCTCTCCTATATTGTATAAAAATGTATTGGTTATTCTGTGTATACAGAATACAAAATCATACTACTGTAAGACTGGGTGTGCGATGTGTATGTTATTATATTATGTAAATTATATTGTTTTACTGATTGATGTTCTTGTATTCTTCTTATTTTATATTGTACAGTGTCTTTGAGTATTCAGAAAAGCGCTTTCTAAATAAAATGTATTATTATTATTACGTGTTCTGTATATGCACACTGTCGTCCATACTACCATTGCAGAGATAGCAGAAACGACTAGCTCCATTTATACACACTAAAATAAAACTAATGCACAAATGTTAGCAGCCAGGTGGCAGTTTTCTCATTAATTAAAATCCAAGTAAATCAACCGGTACGTTGCAACAATGAAGCTTAACGACGGCGTAATGCAGTCAAACAGTTAATGCCTAGTAAACACCTAAAATAAAAGTTACCAAATAAAAATACCTGACAGAATTTTTACTGTTAGCAAATTGCCATTTAACATGTCGGAATAAATATTCAAATCAAGCACACATTGCAATATGACATTTTTAAAGGCGTAAACCTGCCAACGTAAACTTGGCAGGGTTGGCTAACGCCTGCTAGCTAAGCCAGCTAGCTCTCTCACAAACTCCCAACGGTAACTCCCGTCAGCGTTGTTGTCTTTACTTTCACCGTGTTCAGGTCGAGTCTCACCTTTTATGAGACGAACAGCAATCTCTCACTCCATCACCACCGCAACGCAGACACAGGTAGTTCGTGTAAAACAATATAAAACTCGCTAGCAACGCTCAGATGGCCGCAGAAAGCACGACAAGCGCCAATATTTTCAAAAACAAGCCGTCGTCCTCTGTCGCAGCAGATTGGATGCGAGTCTCCGGTCACTGGGCGGTCCGGAGTGACGCGGCGGGCATGCTGCTGCTGCCGCTGCCGAAGGCGGAGCTACTCTCTGGGTCTACGACGGTAAGCTCCTGCTCCAGTTAACCTCCTGAGGTGTTGTCACGGTTCTCCCCCTCGGTTAAACAATGTTTTTAAAACTCTTAACCGAGTGCGCTGTTTGCGTCCGACTCGTGTATTCGTTAGTGTGAGCTAACTGCGCGCCGTCATCCAACATGGTGGCATAGCAACAGTATCTATTGCATCGCTCCGACGTACCAGGTGTAAAACGAGCAAATACAACAGCTGCTACACACACAAACACACACGTGTTGAAGAGCAACGAAAGGTGTACTAAACGTTGCATAACTAAGATGTATATGTAAGCTGTGTAAAACACACTTTTTAAAACACTTCTTTTAAGGTGAATTTGTGCGTGTAAGTGAACCGCACGTCCACGTTAGCGCTGGTGTTTTTAGCGAGGTGGTTAGCTAACGTGCTTTCACACCCAACCATTGTGCCTTTTGTGTGGTACTCCGAAAGAGCAACGTACACTTGGTTACACGCGTTTGGTTAAATGAAACCACCTTGTTAACAGCTACCAACAACCCAGAGCTGTACAGTCATGCTGACCCTCCTACACATTTCTAGCTTAATGGCTAGCAGCTAAGTATCCATGGTAATAATGAGGGGCAGGGGCGTAGCTACAACCATGGGCCCTTAAAAAAATACCTTCTCAAATTAAATAATAATGTTCCTATTATCCTATCGTGAGAGTTATTGCCCACCTTTCACCCATCTTGGCACTGGAACAGTTTAACATACCTCTATATCATGAGACAAAGTCACGTGATTTTGTGATGATCTTCTCATTGAAAGTATGGCATGGATAAAAAAACAATCACAAATGTAATCAGAGGTGATAATAAATGGACTGTATTCTCAAAATATTCCTTTAATTCTTTTGCTCTTCCACTAGAGGATCGCTTACCTTACCTGAAAGATGTAGTATTTTGATTTTCATCTAGATGCATTTACCGGTAATGTAAGAATAGTGGGTATAAATAGTTGGTTTTTATTTACAGCAGGGTGTATAGCCTGCAGTCTTAAAACAATCATGCATCTTCACTCAATATTTTTATTGTCACCTCTCCAGATACTGTGTAATTCTTTGCTGCCATTGAACATTTGCTTTGTGATCACTAATGCCATGTGCACACTTGTTGAATTCCTTCATCTCCTTCAGATATTTCTGTTGTATTTGAATCAAACATCACTTACAGAGCTCTAATTTCCAATACATCTTGTTGCCAGGAAACACCTGAATACCCTTTTAACCATGTGGCTCACTTTGGTGCCTGCTGCGGGCAGTATTGTCCATGTAGACTACCAAAATGTAGAACTAATCAGTCGAAGATGTATTTACTCTTCTTGTGGGTGTGGTGGTGGTGCAGTGTTTGAACCTCAGAGGTGTGTGCTGTCGGATGAGTTCAACCTTCAGAGTGATTCCAGATGGCTTAAATGGTTAAAACTGTGATGCCCTCTTGTTTTGGTTGGACACCCGAGGTCTGCGAGCTGCTTAAGTCATTTGAAAAAAATCCCATCTGGAAATATCAAAGCTACTTTGTAAGCCTGCACCATGAGATTTCTGTCATTTTCTGCATTTCGCACTTTTTTAAAAAACCTTTATTTAACCAGAAAATCTCTTTTTCAATGGTGACCTGGCCAGGAAGAAGCAGAGGTGAGTGCATACCAATTATGCACCTATAAATTATTACAAAACAATACATTACAAGTAGTACAGGGTAAGATGATATAGGCCTTGTGTTTTTGTAACTATCCCAGACAATAGTTCAGTTTAGGTCCACATGCTGCATCACCATCTTTCTTTAATTTATAATATACTCACTCATATTGAGCAGTGCTACAAACACTGCTCCTCTTAACTGACTAAAACACTTCCTATTTCATACCACAACACAACTTTGCTCTAATTGTCTCCATAGATCATTACAAGGATCATGGTTTTCCACATGTGTTTGCGCTCCAACCCACTGTTACGGAAAGCAAATCTGGCTGTCAGGAGAGTATGGAGGTCTTGGAAGATAAGCCTGCACTCTTCTACAGTTTGTGCATCTTCTGGTCAAGGCCCCCCGGACAGTTCGGTAGAACTGTCGTCTGTGTCAACCGAAAAGCTTCTTCATACGCCTGTCATGCTTAAAGAGGTGCTTCATTACTTAGACATCCAACAAGGTCAGGTAAGTTTGCATCTTGTTTGTCTAAGCTTTTTGATGTCCTTAAGAAAGTTAATGTCTGTTAAGGTTCTTTTAAATACGTCAAAGGTTCTTTCAGATCAAATGAGGATACAAAGTATTCAAGCAAAAGCATGGTGCAAAAGTGTCATTTATTTCTTAATACCATTATTGCAAATAAAATGTATTCACACGCTGATGAATATGTTTTGAGACTGTCTGCAAATCTGAAGTATGACTAAATTGAATCTGTTGGACTGACTGCCCTCACTTATATTAACAAGTGATTAGGTCGTAATTGTATTTTCAGGCATTGTTATCCTGTCTGCCTTGACTACTGTGCTAATGGCACAGGCATGCAAACTGATACTGTTCCTCTAATGTGTGTCAGAACATTTGAAACACCTATCAACGTCATACATTTTGATTCAACACCACCACCGACTACAGGCTCAAAAACTACTGCAGAGCTGAATCAACACCTCCCTGACAGCATCAAAACAATATTATAAGCTTCACAAAGATAGGATTTATTGCATGGCTGTTGTATTATTGTTGTGATAAATACATTGATTGGATTTGAATTGGATAAAAAATACCATACCAGTGTTGAGAATTAGTTTTCCAAATGTGTGCATCATAACACCTCAGCAGTATCTCATTTCAATCTTAAGATAACTATTAAAAATGACCTCTTCACTGATAATTATTCTCTTTACAGAGATGTTTGTTGCTAAGGTAAAAAAAATCCGTTCACACACTATATAACAACTTGTTATAAAAGCACACATGAATTGGACAGGATGCCAGTGGCTTGGCTTTCACTTAATGTATGTACTACCAGGACAGATGGGCATGAGTCAAAAGCCTTCTGGTGTGGCAGGCAGCATAGGAGGGGAAGTGATGCCCCCCCATATAATGCATGGTCAAGGCAGGTGGGGGCCACGGGTCAACAACTTAGTCAGGAATTGCGCCACTGTAAGGCTGTTGGCAGGACACAGGGTGCTGCGTCGCTCCTGCCTGAACTTTAGCACCTCTAAACTCCTCCGCTGCCCGCCCATTTGCCAACTGTCCCAAGACAGCTTGCCAATCAGATGCTATTAAAAACACTTTGATAGATTTTGTTTTTTGTACAGTACATGCAGTAGACCTCACTTACTGTGACGCTCTGTGGAAATGTTGTATGGTAACATTTGGAAGTCATGTTTTAAATGTTGCTTCACTGCAGATGTCTGTTAATTTATTTATTTATGTGATGACACATATGTCATGTTGCACTTTCACTGGTTCTTTAACCACAGCAACAATACAGACCTTATGAGGATGCTTACACATATTACACGTTCATATAACTAAATTATAATTCTGTGGACACGGCCACATGCTCTGTCAGTTTCAGTCAGGCAATCACAAATCTGAATTCTGACATGACACTTTGACAGAGCTGCCATTTAAGCAGTCAGATTTGTGGTGGTTAAGTGATGGTGTCACTAACACATCAGTTGCTGTGAGGAAGAAAACCTACCCTTAGTATCAGACGAATGTCGACCGAAATCACTGAGGGCAGTGAGATTAATAATTTGAATGGCTATTGTAAAATAATCACCAATATGTAATTGCTCTTGTCAGCTGAAGCGGAGTGTGTATGAATGGAGTACTTAAGCGATGATGGGTGTCAGAGCAAATACTGCAGTTAAACCAAAGTGTGTAAATGGAGTCTTTCAGCGCCCTGCTGCCTCCCACACAGGACGTCTGGCTGTAAATGTGTATGCAGGTAGCTAATTTGCACTGGTAGCCTACACTATATTTTCAGTTTTACAAATGGCCATCATGCTTATTGGATCTGGACTGATAGCTTGTCATATTTCTTCACTGTAAGCAAACATTCACTTAACAAAGAAGTATGCAGCTCAGCACTAATTGGCTGAAAGGTTCCAAGCAATGGCTTTGAGACAGTTTTCTCCCTTGGTTTGATGTGTTTCTGTATGGAGCAGCATACTGGAACCAAACATAAACTGTGTTTAGCCACTGTGTAAAACGTGGGGAATAATTTTTTTAGCCTTGCTTGCTGTGTGGCTGTAGGGATGGTAATGTTGGTCGGTTGGTCCACCACCATGTAACCCAACAGATATTTGATGGATTGCCATGAAAGTTTGTACAGATATTTACAGTTCCCAAACGTTGAGTCCTCCTAACTTTGGTGATTCCCTGACTTTTCTTATAGAGCCTCCATAAGGTGATATTTGGGGTTTTGACATTTATTGTATGGACACTCATGTCCCCCTCTTATAGTTCCCTCTAGCACCATCATCAGGTCCGTTTTTAATTTGTCCAGTACTTGGCTGCACTTTGTGTTTAGTGTTAATTAAAAATGTTAACATGCTAAAATGCTTCCTTTTAGATGGTGAACATGGTCATGATCATGATCATTGTGAGCATGTTAGCATGTTGAGGTTAGCTTTTAGCTCAGTGCCCCTAAACACTAGCCAATGAAACAGTTTGTACATCATCATCTAGTTTTCATTGACAAAATCTATTTCGTAATATTTCTCGATTTCATTACTTTTTATTTTGTTTTAGTTTAGTTTTTGTTGTGTAAAAAAGATTTTAGAAGAAATTAAGATCCAGGTTAGCTGAACTGAATGGACGAGAAAAAAAAAAAATTTCTTTCCCCATTGGATCTATTCTTAGCGATGACGCCACATTCAGAGATCTTAACAGTTACTTTGGTGAGTAGTTGTATAATGTTGTCATTCAGTTTCAAAAATAAAACCACAAGTTGTAATAAACCATAGTTTTCTTCTAATACCGTACATACCTTTTTCATAATGTTTTATTTAAATTGTCCACCAGATAGAGATGTTTGCAGTTGAGAGTTGTCAGTGAGAACTGGAAGGACTCAACTACTTTATCCTCTATACTTAGACCATGAGCAGAAAGGTGTACAGAACTGCAAAGGGTTGATGCTCAGTGGAACAGGCAGAACCTGAAACCCCTGTAAACTACAGCGAGCCACTGAATTCAATTTTATTGCTAAAAAACAGTTTAAATGGAGTTTTGAAACCTTCTGCAGTCATTGGTGAGAAGAAACAATAATAAATTTACTTTTTTTAGGTTTAGGTTTTCTTTGTTATAATGCTTTCATGAAACTTTCTCTCTAACTCAGTTATAAAGAATTGTGCTGAAAAAGGACGAGGCATGAGGACTCCTCCAGTGGCGCAGGCTGCTTGTGTAGGGGACCTCCTCTAGAATAGATTAATGAGCCATCAGCTGAGAGTCCAGGGGAAAAACCCTGTGCTGCTGTAGAAGGAGAAACGAGCTGCCTACTCTTACATTTCAGTCTCAACACACTCCCCCTTGTGGAATTAATGAGGCCATAAGTGTTAAGCCTACTTTTTTGGATCAATATCACAGTCTTTCAACAATCAAGTCATTTCTGAGCAGGATTAAGCAAATAATAACTGTTGGTTGGACAGATGTATGTTATACCTTGTACTTTTATTTTTACCTCTGTGAATGCAGACAGGTGTATTCTTGTCTTTTGCTGATATAACAGGAGATTTATTATCCCTAACAGTTATAGGAAATGTTTTAAAACAAAGTTTAAACAATCATATTTTTTTGGCTTATATATAATTATGTTGGTGAAATGCATGAATCAGGATGAAATGTATTTTCATCCTGAGTCACTATTGTTTTCTGTTTAACTCTTGTTTGATGAAATAATTAACTTTTATGCTTTAATTAGGGTAAACTGTGTTAGAACAAGACCTCTTAAAATGCTGGTACAAACACAAAGGCAACAAAAGTAAAAAGAAAAAAGAAAGAGAAGTGTAAACTGTTCCTCGGACCACCAAAGCACTGGAATTTTTAATTCTGGGGTCATTGTGAAAGTAACAGAAGCATTCATGCCAACTTATGTAGAAAGCAGGTGGTCGCCGATGTGGAGCTCGCACACCATAAATAGCATGAACCAGGCTAGACTCATGATGACAATGGAAATCTAGCACAAAAATAGAGCAAAACGGGCAAACCACAAATCACAGGTGTTGTAGCTTGTTAAGGCCCTGAACCACAGCAGACTTAGTTGAGTGCTGCATTTTTCACTTCCGCTGTTATTTGGGTTATTTGGCTGGCTGTAATTCGGACACATGAAGAGGCACTCTGTTCTATGGATAGATGACCACCAAACACTCTGCCAGCTGCTGCTTCTCAATGTTTTTTTCTTTCTTTCTTGGAGATGGGACATTGACTAGGAAAAAGTAATATACAGTTGTGTGGCATAAAAAAGTAGTTACCATCTGTTTTATCTGTCATTTCCACATTTTTACATTAAGTGTGGTTTTGTGGAATTTGCAGCTGATGGAGGTTGTCCGGGAGGAAAAATGCATCAATGTTTGATGCACATTAATCCAGCAAGCGTGTCTCTTATCAGAGTGCTAATATCAGCACAGGATATTTTTTTTTTTTACCAGGAACTGAGTGTACCAGCTTGTAAAGAGGGGCATCGACAGGGTTAATCTGATCTTGTCTCTTTAAATTAGTTTAAAGTCTTACAGCTGAATTTTGGGCCATCTGAGGTGACAAATGAGTCTACAGTAACGGGAATACCATGTACTTTTGTTGAAGACTATTTAGAAACTTAATATGCAATCTTTCAAAACCTTTATTGTAAAACGGATAAAACTGATAAATTCAATGAAATCTATAAATGTGTGATACATACTCTCTTTCTGGTCTTTGTCAGTTCATGGGCTGCAGGGTTTTAAAAGTACACTTTCAGATGAAAGGTCCTTTTTTGTGTGATTTTTACCTGTTTCCTAACTTATACTTCCAGCTTCAGCCAGGTGAAGCGCTGTTGTGAATACAAGCAAAGGGGTAACATGATCTTGTCTCTTCAAATTAGTTAAAAGCCTTGCAGTTGCTATTTGGGCCATGCAGCTGAAGTCAAGAAATGTCTGTAGGAGTAGGTATGAAGCATGAGGGAGGTACAGCAGTTGAACCCT